TACATTTAAAATAAAACAATTATTTGAAGTTTGACAGCGAAACAGAAAGTTTTAATGCCACTCAATGCAGGAACAGAAAACAAATCTTAGAATTCTTCATATTTTCAGTTGTTATTTTTTGAATTGTTCTATTATCGTTTAATATATGCCAGCTATTTTCCAATATTCGAACAATATTTGTATGAAAATATCTACGTCAGTCTTTTAACCATAGAACTACACATATGGATCCATGAAATCCAATAGAAATTTTAAATCACAAATATTTTTAATAATACTTGTATTTTTATCTAACCCAAACCATAAAGCAATTTAAATTTATTTAATAATCATATTTCACTGTCTGACATATTTTTAAAAATTAATCTGTTGAAAAATGTTTTTACCAAGTTATATATAAAAAATAAAAACATGGTTCTTAAAAAATCCGGTATATAATCTACGTGTAAAAAAGATATGCATGTAAATTTAAGATTAATAATGCATAACTCGTATGTAATAAACCGATGTCTATTTTTATACCTAATAAGATGTAAATAGTAATAGAATACTAGAAATATTATTTTTATCATATTACAATAATGTCATTTTTTAAGAATAATTTAAAACAAGAATAGTTACAATATTACTATTGTCTCGATGTATAAAACAAGTATTTTGCTTACAGTAAATAAATCTCGAAGAAAAATAAGTACCTAGTAAAATAATTAAAATCTCTATTGCACCATAGATCTATGTTATATCCATTTAAGCTTGCTGGAACGTGGTTTTAACAGGAAGTGATTCTTCTCTTTTAAGATACGGTATATGGAAGATTCATGGAGCAATTAGGAACTGTACTCTTATAAGCCGCGCGTGTTAATATTATACGTCTAAGCGAATTATCGATTAAACATTGCTTACTCACGATTTATGTGTTATGCGAAATGTTTCTGATTAATCGCACTTCCTACTAATTATAGGTGCGCAAAGTTGCGAGAAAATATTTCTTTGAATCTTTGTCATGAAAAATTATTTCTCACAGGATTTAAAAAAATCTTTGCACATTACCTATGTTTTTATTAATAACAGTTTAGTATCCTTAAATTTTTAGGCGCTTCAGAATGAGTTTGATGGTTGTTGCTCAAGGACAGGTTACGATATACACCGCCATTACATCATTTATTACGTAAATCACTCCGTTCGTGAAAAATATTTGATTTTTGTATTTGTGATCAGATGAATAATAAAAGAGTCTTCTGCGAACGTAATAATTATTCAAGCAATAATGTATGAGAAATGTCGCAGAAAGATATCCAGAAAGATATTTTAACTTTTCAGAGAACAGATAATTTTCAAAGAGTTTTCATAATTTATCTCTTTCAGAAACTTTTTGTGATATTTGAAGAGCGATTAACTAAAGCTGAAAAATAATAAATTTATTTAACTTAGTATTCGTTTTTTATATTGCGATTTTCGAATTTGTCTGCGAATTACGCACATCTTTCTAAAATGAGTTTGCCGGATTCCTCGTACTCTTGACGAGACAGCCACATTTGTTGAAACGAGCCCAAAGAGCTGAGGATCGAGCCGCCAATCCAGGCACCATAACGTCGCTCACTCGAGCTGTTTGCGCTAATTATTTTCAGTCTCATGCTCTGCGAAACAAATTGCACAGTTAACCGAAAGTTTTTAAAATCAAAACTTGGTAATAAATAATTAATGTTACAAAACGAGCTTACTGGCGGCGTTTTACTGGCCAGATCCCGATTCAGTCTCTCGCTGAATCCTTGAAGACAGGAATTGCCACCGGTCACTACTACACTTCCATAGAGACTCTGCAACATGTAAACTGGATTAATTATAACAGAATTACATATGTCTTGTTACGTTTTTTAAATAATACAGCAATATAATTAAAAATTCTATAGAATTTTTTTTTATGAAAAATTGACTCGGAATGTATTAAAGAATTTAACAATAATTTATTCTAAAATGGAACGATTAAATTTATACGTAATATAAATTTACTTTACGAAGATACGTACTGGTCTGATGTCCATGTCGCACATTCCGACACTGGTGGTGACTAGAGGACCAACTCCCAAGATACTCGCGCCCACACCCTTAACGTTGCTGGGGTCAAAGAGAGCTTCGGGTATCATAAGCCTCACAGACCCAAAGTCGTCGTTGTAGCCGGTTGGAAATTCATAGTGCTTCATAGGCAAAGTGTTCGCCACATCTTCGTCGTAGGGGCTATCCGATACTTGCAAGCAATTCATCTGGAAGTCTTGCAACAACTCTCGAACCATGTAACTTAGCCAAGACGAAGTTGGCTGCGGTCCGCCTCGTTTCGTCCAACGAGGCGGGTCTCTCTCTCGCACAACATCTAACAAAAAAAAAAAGAGTAATAATTAGAAAAATAATAAAATATAATAATAATTAGAAATCTTTGAAATCATTCCAAAATGTTTTCAACTTTGGTTAAACCAAAGTACGAGAAACAATGTATAACTACGGCACAATCTATCTTGCATTATTACATAAATTTTTACTCTCTTGTCGATTCGTCGAATGATAATCTCTAAATCTCTTTTATATTCATTGCATTCATTGCGGATTCATCATTTACCTTTGCTAGCGACGAGACAGGCGGGCACCAGCTCGATATCCTTCTCCTCGAAGAACTGTCTGCATTGCATAGTGATGAAGTCGCCGCCCAACGGGCTCTTGACGATCCCCTGGGTAATAACGTAACCGTCATGAACCGGCACCGCGCTGGTGTGCGTGGCACCGCTGTCCACGACCATCGCCGTGGACCTGCCGTTCGCATAAGCCGCCAGCACGGCGTTCTTACAGATGTACATGGCCGGCACGTTGAACTTCTCGAACATCAGCTCCAGCAACTTTTCACGCTTCAATCTGGTGTTCCAAGGACACTCGGTCATCAGGATCGGATGGTGCTCGGCTAAGGCGTGCAATCGTTGCTTGTACGTGTACTCGGTCAGCCGCTCGAACATATCCCAGTCTTCGATCATGCCGTCCTTCATTAGGCTCACTATCTCCATATCTAACCCGAGATAAAATACGCTTATATTTTCTAATATTATGAAAATATATATATATATATATATATATATATATATATTTTT